GTGGAAATAGCAGGAAATCAACTCATCAGCGTTCCAGGCCAACACCCCAGACATTCTTCCTGACAGAGGGAGCCGGGACTGCAGTTCCTTCATCCCTCCTCAGGCCCCTGGCTAACAACCTGATGGGGAAGGACAGGAAAAGTTGAGGAAAATGTCATTGAAATGCGAATTAAGATTTCGTTCTTTACCTGCCTCTACCCCTCACCCCATCTCACCTCTGTGTCCTGGGTCCCCCCCCCAACCCCCGCCGTCTCCCCATCCTTGGGCCTCCGGAGGGTGCTTCCCTTTGCTTCATCTGTATAAGAAGAGAAGGGAGCAGAGCAGTTGGGAGGAGGAAGGGAGGGAGAATAAGTGCACCCTGAAAGCGTCTCAGGGCAGCTGTGTGCTGAGAAAGTTGCCCCACACAGCTACGGAGCCACCCATTTGCCACGCATCACAGTTACTGCGGGCACGAAGGGAAATATCACAGGCAGAGGGGCTGGAATGATGGAGTGAGGGAAGAGAGGCGCTGGGAGGAAGGGAAATAAACCGTAAGCACCTTCCCATCCTCCTGTCACAGTGCCCAGGTTCAACACAAATGCTTCCTCAACAGAACTCATGCCAGCAGCCTACCACAAGGGTGCACCTTAAGCAATTTTTCTAGTGGCAAGCCTGGCTCCATGCTAAGCTCTAAAGTTCTTGAAGACCAGGGATGATGCTTTCATCCCCCCTTCTGGCTCTAGGCTTCAGCACAGTACCTGGTGTGCTCTCTCCTCTGAAGAGAGAGGTCGGGCACAGCCTGTGGCCTGGATCTAGCTAAGTGACAGTGACTGACCACACACCAGCGGCCTCATTCACACTGTGCTCCTTCCACCTGAGCTAGCGGCCCACTGCCCAGAGTCAAACCAGTAACAGTAGCTGCAGCGGTTACTTTCTGACAGGCATTTTCCATATTGTCCTCACTCATCCAATACCTCTGCAGCTTGCAGATGAAAAAAACTAATATTTGGAAAGCATGTGCCTTGCCCAGGGCCTCATAATCAAGAATTAACAGAGTTAGAATTTGAATCCAGATTCATCTGGTTTCAAAGCTGGGCTCATTTCACCACCCAATGGCCTGGATGTTCTAGTAACTGTTGGAGAACTGGAAGCTGTTGGTTTTGGAGCCTGAAGCCGGGAGCACGGTGCCCAGCTCTTCTCTTACTGTCGTGAGGTCCCCGATCTTTCTTTTCTGCTTCCCTCACCTGTCACTCTCCTCTCTAGTGTCTCCCTCCATCTTCTGGCTCCCCTGGGAGCCACAGATAATTGACATGTTGGGATACATATGTCATTTGTGCTTTTGTCTTCTTTCCTCATTATGTGGGAGCAACAAGGAAGAAAAAACGGAAAAATGCTGGCAAAATACAAAGATAGAGGCTTGTAAAAAGAAAGCATAATTCTAGCTTAGACTGGAAGGGGCATGACTAAAGGTGGGGAATAGCAAACAGGCTCCTCATTCTTTGAGGGGGGTGAGCCGGGGGAGGAACGGTGGGACTTGTGTCACACACAGAGACAGACACAGGGTCACGTGCAGAAAAGCGGTCAAACTCTGCTGTGTGCGTGTATGTGTGTGCATGAGTGTGTGCATGAACGTGTATGATTTTGTGTGTGTGTGTGTGTTCGCTCCTGCATTTACTCGGGTTTTTTCCAACCTCTCCATATATGGCGTGGCTCTAGAGCAGGCTGGGGATTGGCTGCTTCTGTTGGGAGACAGGGAGGTAGTAAGAAAGCAGAGAGAAAGGAACCCAGCGTAGGGAAGGGAGTGACGAAGTGGGGGATCGGGGGCAGTAGCCGAGCCTGAGGGTTGCAGAAGGGAGCTGGGACTGCTTGCCTGTGAGGGGAGAGATTCTTAGAGACTCAATTCCTGGGAGAATGAGGCAAATTTACTACTGGCAGAGAGGTTGGGAGAGTGGCTGGCGAAGGAGGCGAGAGCTGTTTCCTCAGGGACAGAGCTCTAGGCTCAGCACCGCATGGTTTGTGAGAAGCAGCGCAGGAGTTACAGAAATTTGCACTTTTCTTTTCTCCCTGGTCAACCTATGCTGTGGAAATAGCAGGAAATCAACTCATCAGCGTTCCAGGCCAACACCCCAGACATTCTTCCTGACAGAGGGAGCCGGGACTGCAGTTCCTTCATCCCTCCTCAGGCCCCTGGCTAACAACCTGATGGGGAAGGACAGGAAAAGTTGAGGAAAATGTCATTGAAATGCGAATTAAGATTTCGTTCTTTACCTGCCTCTACCCCTCACCCCATCTCACCTCTGTGTCCTGGGTCCCCCCCCCAACCCCCGCCGTCTCCCCATCCTTGGGCCTCCGGAGGGTGCTTCCCTTTGCTTCATCTGTATAAGAAGAGAAGGGAGCAGAGCAGTTGGGAGGAGGAAGGGAGGGAGAATAAGTGCACCCTGAAAGCGTCTCAGGGCAGCTGTGTGCTGAGAAAGTTGCCCCACACAGCTACGGAGCCACCCATTTGCCACGCATCACAGTTACTGCGGGCACGAAGGGAAATATCACAGGCAGAGGGGCTGGAATGATGGAGTGAGGGAAGAGAGGCGCTGGGAGGAAGGGAAATAAACCGTAAGCACCTTCCCATCCTCCTGTCACAGTGCCCAGGTTCAACACAAATGCTTCCTCAACAGAACTCATGCCAGCAGCCTACCACAAGGGTGCACCTTAAGCAATTTTTCTAGTGGCAAGCCTGGCTCCATGCTAAGCTCTAAAGTTCTTGAAGACCAGGGATGATGCTTTCATCCCCCCTTCTGGCTCTAGGCTTCAGCACAGTACCTGGTGTGCTCTCTCCTCTGAAGAGAGAGGTCGGGCACAGCCTGTGGCCTGGATCTAGCTAAGTGACAGTGACTGACCACACACCAGCGGCCTCATTCACACTGTGCTCCTTCCACCTGAGCTAGCGGCCCACTGCCCAGAGTCAAACCAGTAACAGTAGCTGCAGCGGTTACTTTCTGACAGGCATTTTCCATATTGTCCTCACTCATCCAATACCTCTGCAGCTTGCAGATGAAAAAAACTAATATTTGGAAAGCATGTGCCTTGCCCAGGGCCTCATAATCAAGAATTAACAGAGTTAGAATTTGAATCCAGATTCATCTGGTTTCAAAGCTGGGCTCATTTCACCACCCAATGGCCTGGATGTTCTAGTAACTGTTGGAGAACTGGAAGCTGTTGGTTTTGGAGCCTGAAGCCGGGAGCACGGTGCCCAGCTCTTCTCTTACTGTCGTGAGGTCCCCGATCTTTCTTTTCTGCTTCCCTCACCTGTCACTCTCCTCTCTAGTGTCTCCCTCCATCTTCTGGCTCCCCTGGGAGCCACAGATAATTGACATGTTGGGATACATATGTCATTTGTGCTTTTGTCTTCTTTCCTCATTATGTGGGAGCAACAAGGAAGAAAAAACGGAAAAATGCTGGCAAAATACAAAGATAGAGGCTTGTAAAAAGAAAGCATAATTCTAGCTTAGACTTCAATACCTGTGACAACAGATGGCTCTGCTGACCATGCTTAGGGTCGTGGAGAGTGTAGCTATTTGGAGGACAGGATGTCTGGAAGCCTGGGTCCTCACCTCATACCCCAGGAGACCACACAGACATGAAGGTGGCACTCTTGCACGCTTTCCCTTACTCAACTGGGATACACATTCCTCAAGGAAGAGGCTAGGTAACTACAGTCTAAAGCTGGGGAAAATCTCCATGACAGAGTGGCAAGGGACTAGAGAGAACAAGAATTCCTCTGCCCTAGGGATGGTTTAATAGCAGTGATAAGGTCCAGAGAAGAGTTGTGAAGGAAAGAGATGATTTCTGGAAAGAAGGGGAGAGAACCCCCCCGCCCACACCATTTTGCTTCCATGGGTTGTAGGAGTGACATCAGAGCAGAAGAATGGGGATTGAAGGGTCTGTTTCTCCCACAGGGTTTTCGCCCCTCTTCCTCCTATCCCATCTTCCTAACATCGGGGTAGCTTCATGGCCAGGTCTATATGCAACTTGGCCCCGTTTCCGCCTCCCCCCATCTCTAGTGAAGCCCCGCTGCTCTTGGAGGATCAAGCAGCTAGCAGGGCACACTTCAAAGTGGTTTTTAACCCTCCATTTACTTGATTCATGAGGCTCTGTCCCCTTCTTTCCCAAAATCAAATTATTCCCTTCATAGCTCTTCTCGGGACCTCACCACTGTTACTATACCTGATCTCACACACTTCTGAGGAAGAGCGAACAGTGAGTTGTGTGGGACCTACCATAGGCAAGAATGTTGGGAAGCCTGTCAACTTCAGGGTGGCTGGGAGGGTGCTGGCGTGGGCATCCAGATGCTTTTCTAAAGTGGGGGCTTGCTTAGTGAGAGAAGAGGTTTGATGAAGGAGAGTGGGGAGGCTACAGGAAACCTTAGCTTGGCCGAAAGAGGAACTTAGACACATGTTTGGTTTTCCCCTTCATCCTACCCAGCTTGCATCACCAATCAGTTTCATTCTTAGTTCAGTTCTTCTGTGGGATCTGTCTCTAGTTCCCCTGTGCTAGGGCCCTGAATCAAATAATGAAACTAGTCTCATCCACCCAAGGCTGGATCTTTTTTTTTTTTTTTTTTGAGGTGGAGTTTTGCTTGTTGCCCAGGCTGGAGTGCAATGGTATGATGTTGGCTTGCTGCAACCTCTGCCTCCCAGGTTTAAGTGATTCTCCTGTCTCAGCCTCCCACATAGCTGGGATTACAGGCACCCACCACCATGCCTGGCTAATTTTTTGTATTTTCAGTAGAGACGGGGTTTCATCATGTTGGTCAGGCTGGTCTCAAACTCCTGACCTCAGGTGATCCACCCACTTTGGCCTCCCGAAGTGTTGGGATTACAGGCATGAGCCACTGCGCCCAACAAAGTTGGATCTTTGAGTCAATGTTGGGAAGGGTATGGAAGATGAAGGGAATAAATGTCTCATGTAAGAAAATCCAGACAGCTGGATCTCAACCAGAGACTGCTAGGAAAGAGAAGCCAGTGTCTGGCTGGGGAAGATTTTAATTCCACAAATCCTCCTCGGGGCTGGGATAAATTTCACGGACAGGTGGCAATGGCCTCCACATCCCTACAACTAGAGTAGGGCAGCTGAAACTTCACCCTCAAACTGACTGCCTGGGGTGGGACATAGAAAACGCCCTCGTCCCCCTCCTGCTCTAAGCTTAGAAGCCCACTGTATCCTTGGGAGCAGCAGTGGACTCCCCGTGCCGTCTTGGGGGCAGGCGGTGTGTGGAGTGATCAGACTATGTCTTTTCTGCACCTTCTCTCTCTCTGGCTGGGTAAAAACTTCCTACTACTGCTACAGGGTCACTTCCTCAAACCTGAAGGGGATACGGAAAGTAGGAGGGGAAACAAGGGTTGTAGTGGGGTCAGGCATCAGCAAGAGCAATGAGCTCATTTTTGTTTTCTTTTTTTGATTGAGGTAAATAAAAAAGCTTTATCCAGCCACACGGAGACAAGAGTCTGTCCAACCCAACGAGTTCCAGACCCCACCCCGCCCTCACATCAGGCTCTTCCGGTACTGACTGTGCGGGGTGGTCTGTCTGAGGTGGGAGTCGGGGGTCTGCAGGTCCATCTGTCTGTACAGGTCTCTCAGCTCCCTGACCTCCTGCAGCACCCTCTTTGCCTGGTTCCAATTTGATGACGCCTCTCCCAGCAGCCGTTCCGTCTCCAACAGCAGCTGCTCTGACTCAGAATCCGGCGGAGACCGAGGGGGGTCCTTGGCCTTTCGCTTCCCATCTCCCAGTCCCTGAACCTCTGCCAGAAGCTCCTGAGTCTTCTCCAGTTTCCTTGCTACCAGGTCCTGGATCCGGGACAGCTGCCCCGGGTTGGGGGGGGCAGGGGATGGGGGTTCCTCAGCCTGGAGCTGGAGGGTGCGGGCAGGGGCAGCGTCCCGCTGAGACAGGATCTCCTCCAGGGAGGCGCAGCGGCCCTTCTCTGTGGGTGTCAACTTCTTGGGTGCCTGGGGAGTGTAGGTGGCCCCTTTGTCTGGTTTTTCCCAAGGTCGGGAGAGGCTGCTTGCCCGGTCTGCGGAGGGCTGGATGCGGTCTGAGTCTGCTCTCCGCCGGCTCCCTGCCAGCTGGGCCACAGACTTGTCCAGGTCAACCCGAAAGCTCTCAGCACAAGAGGTTGGCTCCTCAGGGGAAGGGTCTTCCTCTTGGATCAGGTCCAAGGTCAGCATTCCATCCGAGGTAGACGTGGAAGCCTGTGGAGCAAGGGGGAAATGAGAGGGGAAAGCTGTCTTCAGGAGGGATTTTCAGAATGACTGCCTAAAAGATGCAAGCTGTGGTCATTTTCCTCTACAAGCCTTCCCTGAATGAGAAATAGTTTTTTTAGAGACAGAGTCTTACTCTGTCGTCCAGGCTGGAGTGCAGTGGCATAATCTTGGCTCACTGCAAACTCCACCTTGTGGTTCAAGCGATTCTCCTACCTCAGCCTCCCAAGTAGCTGGGATTACATGCACGCACCACCACGCCTGGCTTTTTTTTTTTTTTGTATTTTTAGCAGTGGCAGGGTTTTACCACGTTGGCCATGGTTGGTCTCAAACTCCTGATCTCAAGTGATCCACCTGTCTCAGCCTCCCAAAGTACTGGGATTATAGGTGTGAGCAACCCTGCCTGGCAAAGCCCTCTGCTCTTGACTGAACCCTCCTACTGAATGTGCTGTTTCTTATTCCTTTGATAGTGACTTGAATGTTTCTTTTTCTGTGATTTACTTTCTGTTGCTTGTTTCCTGTATTCTCCATTCTACCACAAGCTTCCTGAGGGGCGTCCTCTTCCTCAGTATTGTGGACTCTCAGCATTAAACTGGGTCTGACACACAGAGGACGCTCCCCATGGCACAATGACTGTCCTCCTCCATCTGCATCCTATGAGCCCCACACTTCAGCCCCCTTGCCTTACAAAATTTTTTCTCTTATTTCCAGAATACTAAAAGTGATGAGTAGTCAATACCAAATATGTAGTTATACATATGCTGCTTTAGTCATTCCTCATAGCAGCCCTTCAAGGCAGGCATGATTACTGCCTCATTTTACAGCTGAAGACATGCAACTTCAGGGAACCACACAGGTAGCTGATTATAGTGAGGTTCCAACTCAGGTTTGGACTCCAAAGCCTGTGTTCTCTGCACTATACCTGCCTTCCTCTCTCTCTAAAGACTTAAGAGCTCAGAAGCATGAAAGAAACCAGCACTTTGTATGTTTCAGAGATTCACTGTCATCCTTTCTCCTCCAAATGCCTGCACTACTACATGCTGTTACCCATCAAGACAGTCACCATAAAGTAGCTTAGTTTTCATTTTCCTGTAGGTATAACTCATTTTCTCCAAAACAGGGTAACATTACTGGGAGCCAGGACTTTTGAACTCCTAATGGGTGCTGAATAAATGCTTTTGATTTAGATCAGGCAGGGGCATGGGGTGGAAGGACTTCCCTCGCCTCTGATCTTGGCATCAGGGAGGCCTCCCACAAATGCCTCTGGTGGCATACAGTTCTGTCTGAGATGGACTGACACAGAATTGGCCCTTTGGCAATGTTTATTACAGTCTTACATACCACAGCCATTAGGTGTCCCCTTGTTGGGGGGCGGCGGGAATGTTGAATTTTTGCCCTGTCTCGAGTAGGATGGGCAAGATAGCTGTCCTCCTCAACGGTGACCTGAAGAGATGTACTGTGAGTCATGAGTGCTCTTCAGCGACCTTTGTCCCAACCCAGCATCCCGAGGCCTGAACGCGTGCCCATTCCATTCACGGCTTCTGAATGAATCCATGGGCAAGGGGATTTACTGGACACGAAGGGGCTCTTTAAGCTGACGCAAGGCTGGCTCCCGCATCATGAAGTGGGGAAGAGGAGGTGTCAGAAGAGACTTGGAGAGAAGGTAGAAAGAGATCAGGTTTTTAAAAGGGAGGTAAAGAAGTAGAGCTGGTGGGGGAGCGAGTAAATGGGGCCTGCATAATCCTCCCCCTTCAGTGGGTCACAGCTGCTCCCTCTGCCCCAGCCTCCCTCCCTCTCCCCACAGTGAGCCCCCTGACCTCATCCAAGATACGGTTCTTGGCTCGGGTGATGGCAGAGTTGAGGGCACTGATCCACGATTCCTTCTCTTCTGGACTCACTGCCAGGAAGATCAGGTTGGGTGCCTGTGAGGGGAAGATTCCTGTTTCAGCCAGGGTTTTAGAGGTGGTGCCTCACCTCGAGATGAAGAAATAAGAGATTACAATCTCACTTTCTTAGACCCAGCTCCGGGAAGGAGAGATATTCTGCTTCCAGAGTCATCCATAACTTAAGGAAACCCAGCTTCTATTCCTGCAAAATGCATAGCTAGGAGGTTGTTTTAGAAACGACCAAGGAAGAGCTAAGAAGGATACTGAGTATTAATATGGTATTGGAGATAATCAGAGGAAGTCTGATGAAGGACAGGTATTAAAATACAAATCTTTCAATGTTTGAAGAAATAGAATGTGACAGGAGTAACTTCCCTGGGTTCCCTCCGACAAGATGAATTAGATTCAGAACTTCAACCACCTATCAGGGTACAAGGACAGGGATTTTCTTCTAAGGAATGTAAATACGCACATGTGTGGATGTGTGTGTATAAAACAGAGAAAAATAAAGAGATATATAGAGAGATGATCTTTGTGGCTGAACAGGTTAAAGGCTGGCCTGCCTGGAAAGAAGGAAATGGCCACAATATTCTCAGGTGAAATGATAAAAGCCAGCAGGAGAGCAATCCAGGGCCTCTGAGCCAAGATTGCTGAGAGAAGTTGAGGGGAAGGAGTTCTCCCCTGCCCCCTCCAACCCTGTCCATGTTCCAGCGGCCAAGGTGGCAGGAGAAACATACCGTGTTACCGGGCTGTTTGGAGTGGGCAAGAGTAAACTTGCTATGATTTTTCTTGCTCCTGCTCTTGGACTTCCGGAGCTCTTCACACTTCTCATAGTCACTCAGGTCAAATACCTCTTGAATATTTTTCTCATCTTTTACCTAGGGGAGGGTTGGGGTGAGGTGAGGAGGATAAAATTATTTAGCCCCTCCACCCAGACTGTTAGTTTAGATCATCTTGGGAAGCAGAGGAAGCCTGAGGAGAGGGAGACATGCCAGGAGAGGAGAGGGCCGTCCTGCCCAAAGCCTACAAAGGCCTCACATCAAGGAGGAGGCTAGGGCAGCCCCACGTCTTGAATGCTCAGGTGTGTTTCTGTTTAAATCCCTTCTCTTCACTCTCCTTAGCCAGGCTGCCATTTCCAGAGTCCCACTATGCCTCTCTCCACCCATTGCCCCACTCTTCCTTAAGGACACAACTTACATGTTCTAAAAAGGCTCATGTCCTTAAAGGGACATGGTAGATGGTTGATCCATCACCCTCAGTAAGACAGACCTGTATGGCCCTTGATGGTCCACAGAATGAAGATTAAGGCATGGCCAGTATCAGGGTGTCTGGAGGGAAGGAGGGGCTGTCTCTGGCCTCCCCACTCGCACGTGTGCAGTATAGCTCTCCCACCCCACCTTGCTCCCTTCTCTGGTATGTACAATTATAGAGACTCATCTTCCTTGTTCATTTCAGGAGCATCGCCACCACAGGACGGCAGCCCCCTGTGTTCACTTTGCTGAGTTTGTCCAGAGAAGCTGAAAACTACAATTACAGTTCCTACCCTTTCCTCCTCCCTCTAAGGTACTGTGACAATCCAAACTAACTCCTCCAGACCTGAAAAACCATTTCTTTCATCCCCCTATCTCTAGGCAAGAATGCACTTAGACCTTCCCTTGAAGACTACACTTTAGACTTGGAAAAAAGTATTCTGTGACTTCTTGCCATTATTCTAGTTTGAGTGCCTGGGTCCCCTTTATTGCAGGAAGCTCTTCCTCATATCTAAACTTAGCCCTCCCTGCTGTAGTCTCTGTCCTGCACTCTGGTTCTACCTTTAGCAGCTTCAAGTAACATTTAGCTCTTAGCACTCCTGCTGAACATCTCATCGAGGCCGCATTCCTAGTGACATCCTCCAACCCCAACTAGCCTTTTCTGAGCACTGCAAAGCGGCTCTAGAAATATTTCTTCGCAGGTCCATTTGAAACCGATCACAATGTTTTCTCCTTTCCCCTAACGCGGTGTTCCTACAACTCTGGGACTCTGAAGCAGTGGCTTATGGATTTGGTTTGGCTTGCAAAGACCAAAGTTACAGAGAGGAGACTTAGTTACAAGCCCAGACTGCATAGTCTGTTCACCCTCTGTGACTTGAGCCCAGGGTTGGAACACCTCAGGAAAAAGCTGGTCACGTTTTCCTGGGATGAGAAATGAAAAGCACCAGCACTTGTCTCATTAAAACTAAACATAAAAGTAGCCTCATGTCTTCCTTAGATGACATCCACCTACCCTGACAAATTATTTTTCAAAAGAGTCCCCAACTTCCCCAGCTCTGAAATGGGGCTCATGTGCATGGAGGTGAATTCATCTATCCTCCTGGTTCCTGGAAACCTGGAAGTGGGGAAGTGGTTCTCCCTTCCATTACCCAGACCATCTACAGTCTTGCATCCGCCCATCCTTCTGAATTGCTGCTGGACCTGGAGGCTGATGACAGATGAGGACAGATGACCACATGGCCCCATTCAAGTGAGTGACTGCTCATACATCTACCTCCATTTGTTTCAGCAAGGCTTGGCTCCTCCAGGGCCCCCCACTTTCCAGGCTCCCTGGCTTTAGGCTGGAAAGCGGCCAGAGGCCTTGAATGATTACGGGTAGAAGTAGGACAAGGTGCTGGCAAGGGGTGTCCAAGAACAATTCCCAGAAACACGGGGCAGGGATGTAAGATGATGCATCATCCCTCCTCTCCCCCTCCTTCTCCAGAGTTGAGACTATCAGCAGAGTCCAGAAGCCGTGGAGAGGAAAGTGCTGGGTGTGTGAATGTAGCCAGGGGAAGAGAGTTAACTTACTCTGTTTTCCTTAGGGGAAGGGAAGGAAAGGAAGTTATTCTAGCTTGCATACAGACTGATAAGGAGTTCTGGGGAGCAGAAGACACTGACAGAGGTTAGCCCTTAGTGGGGGTGGAGAGGGTGGGAGATGGGGTGAGGCAAGCAGTAGCACAAGTATATTCCAGTGCCTGGGAAGATGGACAAAGCCAGCAGACTTGTTCTCCACCGTATTGTTTTTTTTTTCCGCACTTATCTAATTCCCAGAGTCTCATTTATAACTACCTATCTTCTAAATTAACCCTCCCTTTCCCCTGATTCTTTGTCCGTGACCACAGTAAGGGATTTTTTCCCACACCTGTCCAAAGAGTTGCCCCAAACCCAATTTCCTTGACCATGAGGTCTAAGGTCTAGCTTCTGTTCTTACCCACCAGCCTGTGACCATAAGGTGCTCCAGCCCTCTTTGAGAGAGGATGCCCTTTGACTGAGAAGGAAGAAAATGATTACTATCGAACACAGAAGAAATTCTATGGCAGAGGTGGTTGTGGGAGACCCTGCCTTTAAGAGAGGAAATAACAAAAAAGACTAGTGAAAATTCTGGGAGATAGGGTTATAATTTTTCTTGCATTAACAGCAAATGATATAGATTATACTCTGCCTTAAAAAAAATCTTGTCCAGGCACTGTGGCTCACACCTATAATCCCAGAATTTCAGGAGGTTGAGGCAGAAGGATCACTTGAAGCCAGGAATTTGAGACCAGCCTGGGCAACATAGTGAGACCTCATGTCTACAAAAAATAAAAAAAAAAAATAGCTGGGTGTGGTGGTGCATGCCTGTAGTCCCAGCTACTCGGGAGGCTGAAGTGGAAGGATTGCTTGAGCCCAGGAGGTCAAGAAAGCAGAGTTACAACTGTGACACTGCATTCCAGCGTGGGAGACACAGTGAGACCGTCTCTAAAAAACAAAACAAAACACCCTGTCTTGACTCTATTGGCCCTGGAGCTTTTTGCAAGTGGGCAGAATAAAGCCCAGAGTCCTCTGTCAATTTCACTTTTTAACCAGGCCCACTGTAGCATGGAAACTGGCTCTAAAAAAGCATAGTATCAATATGTCTAGTCCCTCTTTCCTGTGCCCTTCCCAGCAGGAGACAGCTGGCTCCGTGACCAGTCAGATGGTCCTGACTCATAGGACACCAGACATCCTAGGCTGAGGTCATTCCATCCTTTCCCCTGTCTCTGTACCTCTTCCTCACAAGCAAGGATCAACTATGCTTTTGCCCCCAGACTCTGCTCTTTGGGCAAATACAAACAAGCAATGGATGTCTTATTCCTCTTACCCTTTCACTATTATGTTTTCCCTGACTTGTAGGAAGTTCTCCCTGATTGGTAACTAGAGTTTCCTGCAATTAAGAAGTTCGGGGAAGACAGGAGATACACTTTGACACTTGCTTTTTTTTTTTTTTTTTTTAAATTAGAAAGCCGGACACTTGTGGAGAAAACTTTCTGGAGGATTTGTGATTGGGCAGCAGTAACTCTTAAAAATAAATCCTCCTGGCCGGGCATGGTGGCTCACATCTGTAATCCCAGTACTTTGGGAGGCTGAGGCTGGTGGACCACTTGAGGCCAGGAGTTTGAGAGCAGCCTGGTCAACAATGCGAAACACTGTCTCTACAAAAAATGCAAAAACTAGCCAGACATGGTGGCACCCACCTGTAGTCCCAGCTACTCGGAGGATGAGATGGGAGGATCACTTGAGCCCTGGAGGTGGAGGTTGCAGTGAGCTGTGATCGAACCACTGCATTCCAGCCTGGGTGACAGACCAAGAAAAGTGCCTTCACCTCACTCCTAAGACTTTCCATCACCAACTTCCTAGCTTTGTGTAAACAGTTAGGTTTCAATACCCTTAAGAGGGATCTCTTTGGCTGTGGCACAGCTTAGTTCTTCCCTAGATGCCTCAGTAGATGTTCTTCTAGATGAGTACTTTGTCTCAGGGTGTGTGTGTATCTGTTTCAATACCATAAAAGGTTTTATTTACCTAAATATAATCTACTGAATAAGGGTGTCTACTGCAGAAAGTAGAAGAGGTTAGAACTCAGGGAGGGCTTCCCAGTTAGCTCTGGGTGAGGGAACACAGAATCCCTCCTGTGAGGGCGAGAGGAAGAGCCACTCTAACTGGTACACAGGACAGTCTCCCAGGCTATACTGACAGTCACAGAGGCAGGGAATGGAGTGACTTCTAACCACTGGAGGGGCAATTCTGATTTCTCAACATGAGTACACGTTATTGACCCCAAGACTTAGGGAAAAAAGGGAGATGGGTCTGGATTCAATTATCATAGCTCAGGTTTTGACACAGTGTAGACTGGTTTTCATGGTTAAATACACAGCCAAAGGTATCCAAAGACATACAGGGGTTCTTAACTCCATTCTTCTCCCTTCAGATACAAATGGTGGGGGGGTGGGCAGGAAGTGGGTAGAAAAATGGGTTCCTTGCCTTTTTTAAATGGGGTGGGGGTGGGGAACAGAGAGCATACTGGTTAGGGACACTGCCTTCAACGAAAATAACTGCCACTCACAGACCCGAGGTCACAGGGGTCAGACGGCAGGGTGCGTGTGTATTTTCTGTGATTCAGGGCGGATGCGCCACGGACAGGACCTGTGCACGCTCCTGCCACAGACAGGAAAGGGGAGGCTGGCTGGGGTAGGGTCGGGGGACAGAAAGGGGTGGCGAATAGGCTAAACTGTTTCAGCAGAAATAACAAAGAAAATAAATCCTATATTCAGGAGGCCGGTTAGGGTGGGAGGCAGCAAGGGACACTCAGGACTTCTGGGGCGTCTTGGGAGGGGCTTATCATTGTTGTTAGAAAGGTATTTGCAAACAAAAAAACACTGAGTAAGCGGCCAGCTCAACTTCTAATTCTCACTCGGGTCTTCTCACTAAAGGGTGACCTTTCTCTGCAGATGAGATGGGGGTAGAGAGTCAGGAGACCACTGAACTTGCCTTTGGAACAAAACGAGGGTGGAGTAAGCTAGGCGAGCCCTTGTGGAGTGACAAAGTGGGGGGTATGAGAAAACGGAGAGTTAGAGGCAAGAAGCACCCACCTCCTTCTCAGAGATGTAGAGCTGGTCCCCTTTCAGCACCACATAGCGGTTTTTCCAAATCTCCCTGAAAATCCCTTTCCCGCAGAATTTCCGGACCCAGCCGACCTTCTCGGGCGGTGCAGGCTGCTGATTTCCATCCTGAGGCCCCTGCCCCAGGACAAGATGAGAAGCGGGCGGTTAGGAGATTCCAGCCGCGGCTTCCTCTCCATCCGTCTCTCACGACCGCCTCAGCGGCCCCATCTCCTCCCAAGGCTGCGGCCGCGGGGGGCGCCCCAGGTTCGCTCCCACTTCGGAAAGGTTTTCACTCCAAGGAACTCCCCCCGTTCCCCTCCCCTGCTCCCGAATAAACAACCGGGGCTGCGAGTGGCAGGGGCGCCGGCCGGGCGCGGAGGG